AGGAGTGCCCTTGACTGAAACCCATATTGATACGAACACACAGCCATCCGTGGGGGGAGGAATCTCTCGCCCAGTAAAAAAATGTCCAGTACTCACAATTTAGTTATCTTTCTTGCAAGTGTAAATTAATTTTAAACTTGCTTGTAAGAACTGGCGCCACAAAAACGGACCAACACAATTTGGCATCTTAGATAAGAAAGAGGATACGGGCCCCTATGGGTATAAAGATGGGTCCAGCAGCACACTTACTTTGAGTGTCAATCTACCATCTATCTGCTGGTTGGGTTAGGTGTTTGACCTCCCGAGGTTCCACGGGGACGCCCACCTCGTATTCGTCTTTTCTAGGAATTGAGGGACCAACCCTGGCCTAATACGCTGGAGTTGAGAGGCACAGAAGGAGGGTAAAAATTGTACCTGGATGTGGTCCTTTGTCTTAAGTGTACACATAGACTCAGAGCTCTTTAAAGATTAAGCTGTCACTTGGTACCATTATTTCTATTTTCTATCTTTATTTTCTTTGTAACCATTTTTTTAAGATCTATACTTGCTAGCAGTTAAGAAATAGAGCAATAGCCACTGTAACCATATGATTTATAAGCCTCTTTAATAAACCTGTAACTGTTTAAGCTTTAACCTGACTCCTTCAGTTGCTGTAACATAACCAAGCACAATTTAAAAGAACTTTAGCCGGTCATAAGGGACAGGTATAAGGAGAGCTTGGGCGTTTTGGATCATGTCACTTCCAGAGGACAGATCCGTTGGGGTATCTCTCAGCCTCCCTGGCTGCCCACTGCGAAGGGATCCTGTATCCTAGCTGAAATCTGAGATATAATAAGCTCTTCCTATAAACTCTGGGGCGTCTGTCAGCCAACAGGCTGCCCTCCGCGACGGGACCCCAGTCCTAGCAGTAAAGACACAGACGTTAAACTTCTCAGGGCGCCCTTCAGCCTCCTAGGCTGCCTGCTGCGACGAGACCTTGCATCTCAGCAGTTGAAGACTTGGGTGTGACACACACACACACACACACACACACACACACACACACTGCCCTGACCATCGGCTGACAGCAGTTCTGGGTGCCTTTTTCAATCCACGTAATGCAATCTAGAAGCTCTTTTTCGAAAGAGGCGTGTAGTCTAGACATAGCCTAAGTATAGACAAGACCATAAGATCTTAGGACCCAAAGTCTCACTGAAAATAACGAAACCCCTTGCTCCAAAGACATTTTTAAAAGATATTTTTTTCCTTTACATCTTTATATACTCTCTATATAAATCTGTATAATACAAGCATATGTAATAAAATAATTATGAACACTTCACATGCAGGAAAGCTACAGTGTTTCTTTTACTTTCTGTCCTCTATCAAAGTGTAAACTTTCCCTCTTCCTTTCTAAATACAGCCTTTTCTCCAGTAAGTTGTTTTCCTGCCCTTGACTTTAAAACAGTGGTCCCCAACGTTTTGGGGCTGCCAGGCGCCTGGGGGCGGGGCCGCTCACACGCTGCGCATATGGGGGCGGAGCCACTCACAGGCCACGTGACTGGGGGCGGGGCCAAGCATGCGCCGCACGTCCGAGGTCGGCACCGGCATGTGCTGCGATCCCGGGCAGGGGCTGCCCAGGTTCCGCGCGGCGCCCCCGGGGGTGGGGCCAAGGCCGGCGCCAGAGCCGGCAAGGGCACGCGCGGCGCCCCCGGGGCTGGGACCGGCCATGCGCCTGGGGCTGGCACCCGCCCGGCCCCACTGCTCCACTCACAGACCACGTGACTGGGGGCGGGGCCAAGCATGCGCCGCACGCCCGAGGTCGGCACCAGCTACCCAGGTTCCACGCAGCCGGGGGGGGCCAGGGCACACGCGGCGCACCCGGGGCCGGCCATGCACCCGGGGCTGGCACCTGCCGCACTCCCGGGGGCGGGGCCAGCCCAGATTGCTTCGCGGGCGCATGTAAAGGGCCCGGCGGGCGCCAAAGCACCCGCGGGCACCGGGTTGGGGACCACGGCTTTAAAAGAATGTAATGATATCTATTGCACAAAATACATTAACTAAAAATAATTTAAAGCACATGGGGACATTAATAAGATAAACCTCTGCAATAATTTTGAAGTTATTTAAACTAACTTTTGCTTTTTATCTAATGCTTTGGCTATTAGAAATGCTAAATGTATTTTATTCAGAGATACGTATCAAGGAGTACTATAACACACTTGCTAATTCTATAGCCTCTTTGTTTCAATCATTTAGCATTAAATATTGAATTATGATTGTACCAATTGAAGTCTTAATGCTTGCTAAAACCAACAATATTTAATTTCTGATTGACACACTTATGTAGGCAAGCCAGACCAGTAGTCAGCATTAAAAGAGGATAATCAGATATTTAATAAAGGCTGGTGATAGTCAGAAGCCTCTTGAAGTAACTCAGTGTGCAGCAAGAATAAGGATCTGAACCTTGAAAATCCCATGTAGTTCATAAATACTTCTGGGGTTTCAGGAAGTGCACTGGCTGCTCCCTCTCTCCCAAACAGCCAGCGCGGTACCAAAACCCAGGTCTGTGGTGTGCCGGGGATTTCTTGCGGGGAGGGGGGGGGTAGGAGTCCCCCGAGGAGGCACACGCCAGGACTTCCTTCTCTTGTGGGCTGAAGGGGGTAGGAGTCCTGGCAGGAAGCGCACCCCAGGGGCTTCTTTCCTCTGCACTGGGGGGAGGGCAAGAATAAGAGTCCGGGGAGGAGGAGCACACTGGGGACTCCCTGTCCTCCGCCCCCACCAACACCCTGTCCCCTGCGGCAGCAACCTCTTCTCTGCCCCAGCACCTACCAGCAGCTTACCACCTGCCGCAGCACCCTGTACCATGCCCCAGAACCCACCAGCATCCTGTCCCCTGCTTCAACACCCCCTGGCACCCTGTCCCTGCTTCAGCACCCACTGGCACCCTGTCCCCTGCCCCAGCACTCTGTCCCCCACTTCAGCACTCACTTGCACCCTGTCGTCTGCCTCAGCGCACTGCCACCTGCCCCAGCACCCACGAGCACCATGTCCCCTGCCCCCACCAGCACAGTTGGGGCCACATTAGTGAGACTTGGGGGGTTTTGGAGGAGTTTTTTTTTTTGCATCTGACTCATGTGGCCCCAACTGACTTTTCTGTGGGTCAGTGACCCCTGACTCAAAACAGGTTCCCTGCCCCTCTCATAAAAAAAGACAATGCTGAAACTTTTTGTGTTTGACATAATATTTTATTTAAAAATGAAGCCTGCCCAACAAACCCCCAGTTGAGGCCAAGCATCCATCATAACACAGCATCATAACACTCCTGTACTGCACCCACCCCAAATCTGAGCCTATCATACACTGGAGCCCCCAGTCCTGAGCCTCTCACATCCCCAAACTTCTGCACCCCCACATCCCCAGTCTTCTGCCACAACACTTCTGCACCATCCACAAACCACAAATCTGTGTCCTGAGCCCATCATACTCCCAACCCCACTTCCCTGAGCCCTTCACACAGCCCAACCCAAACTCCTGCACCCTCACATCCACAAGCCTGCACGTCTACCTGACCCCAACACTCCCCAGCCTGGAGCCCCCTCTCCAAGTCAGCATCCCCTTCTCCACATATTCCTGCATCCAAATTCCATCCCAGAGCTTGTACCTCTCACCCCTTCCCACACCAAATCCCACATTCCCACTGCAGAGCCCACACATCTTGTCTCAACCTAGTGAGGGTATGGCTAGACTACAAGAGTTTTTCCGGGATACCAGAGGTATCTCGGAAAAACTCTTCCATGTCCAGGGACATGTTTGTTCTTCCGCTTTTTTAAGAGGAAGAGCAAACATGCTCTTTTGGCAACTCCTATATTCCTTGTTCCACAAGAAATAAGGGGGCTTCCAAAAGAAGGGTTTTTTTTACATTTGACCCAGTCTAGGCAGGCCAAATGTTGAAAAAACCTCTTCCTACAGAAGAATCGGAAAAAAAGTGGCAGTGTAGCCATACCCTGAGAGTGTTTAAGGGCTGGGGATAGCAAGTGATGGAGAGGAGGAGAACAGAGAGGATAGGGCTTCAAGGAAGGGGTGGGGTCTTGGGGGAAGGACGGGGTAGATCTTGGCTTGCTCTGATATTTAAAAAGTGATCTTGGGTGTAAAGAGGTTGGAGACCACTGATCTAGACTATGCTTGGTCCTGCTCTGAGGACAGGGGACTGGACTTGCTGATATCGCGAGATACCTTACAGTTCTAGTATTCCATGATTCTGTGATTACACTGAGAACATACCTGACCCATATTATCAATTTTCTTGTCTAACAAACAACCCTGCAAAGACCCAAAGATAGATTAACTGTTCAAACTAAAGGGACAACATTATTTTCAACAGTCTGGACCTGTGATGCAGAACTAACAAACTGATCGGAAATATTGGGGCCCAACTAATTTTTCGACAGCAGGGAGGCCTTAGGATTTGCAAGGCCCACCAGTT